CCGCGGCCGCGGTCAGCAGGGTGAGGAGCTGGATCCAGGACAGGGCAGAGGGGTGGTCGCGGGCCGGGGTCTGGGTCGGGGCCGGGGCGAGGCGGGGCGGAGCTGAGGGGCTGGGGCTCAGGGACGAGCCCGGGGCGGAGAGGGGAGGCCTGAGCTCAGCAGAGCCAGTCTGGGGTTTGTGCAGCTTGTTTTTAACTGGCCGGTTCGGTGGTTTTTGTGAATGTATTTTATTAACGTGCATACCTGTCATAACTGAATTTCACCCCCCAAAACACAAAAACCCAGAGATTTGCCGCTACTGTTTCAAGTATATCGTGATTGTCTGACCCTTAATCCTAAGGATTTGAAACTGTCACTGACTTCGCGTTGCTAAATCGTCGTGGATTATTCAGTGGCGCGTTTGTTGGAAACAAAAGCTTGACACAGTTTTATTTGATGACTGCTCAGTTCTTTGGTGTTTCTGATTTTCTCTGCACTGGGTTAATCGTTTCCAAAATTGATTCTTGCCTACTTTCAAGAACTTGCCTTGTTCTATGTTCTAACGTAGGAAGGGCAAGGTAAAGAGGCTGCTTAACCACCTGATGGCTTGGGTTTGTTTGGATCCATTTACTCTGAATTAAAAACAACTGTTGCTCTGTAAAATGTCATGTGTTTTAAACCATTTTATCTTTGGAAAAAGTAAGGTTTTCTTGTTAGGTTTCATTACTGTTGCAGTTTTCTAAGAAAAACCTTAATTGCTTATGTTACTTTTTATCTTCATCAAACATTCAGTTACAACTAGCCACCTTTCAGTTAGCCTGCTCCCTAATATCATGTGATGCTTGTCTATATTTTCCTTTAAAAAACACAGTCTTATTTGTGGTTTAATACTTGTTTTCTCCTGCCCCCCCACCCCTCCAGGAGGAGAAATCATTACAGATTCTAAAAATGTTTTTGTCTTTTCTATGGACATAATGTAAAGCTTACTTTTGTTTCTGTTCAGACTTGCTTTCTAAAACTCTACGCCATATCAGGCACAAAAAATTGGGATCATTAAACCCCAGTTGTGGAAATGAGTTGTGGAAATGAGTTTGTCGAGACGTTAAAAAAAATCGGTTATCCCAAAGCTGATATTCTTAATGGAGAAGATTTTGACTGGTTGGTTGAGACTGTTGAAAATGAATCGTTTTTGAAGTGGTTTTGTGGGAATGTGAATGAACAGAACGTATTGTCTGAAAAAGAATTGGAAGCTTTTCGCGTTCTTCAAGAATCAGGCAAGCCCATCCTAGAAGGGGCGCCATTGGATGAAGTCCTTAAGACCTGTAAAACTTCTGATTTGAAGACACTTAGACTGGATAACAAAGAGCTGGAGAAATTAGAGGATGAGGTTCAAACTCTGCAGAAATTAAAGAACCTAAAAATTCAGCGACGTAATAAATGCCAGGTGATGACGTCACTAACTAGCCACAGATCTTTGAGGTTAAATGCTAAAGACAAAGCCACTAAAAAACTGAAGCAGAGTCAAGGAATTCTAAAAGCAATGACTACTAAGGTCAAGAATGAACTTCAGGCTCTTACTGATGACGTTACAAAATTGATGATGTTCTTCAGATGTTCTAATTTAGGTCAAGGGACAAATCCACTGGTGTTTTTATCTCAGTTTTCCTTGGAAAAATATTTAAGCCAGGAAGAGCAAAGCACAGCAGCATTAACTTTATATACCAGAAAGCAGTTCTTTCAGGGTATACATGAAGTAGTTGAAAGCTCAAATGAAGAAAATTTTCAGCTATTAGACATACAAACACCATCTACTTGTGGTAATCAAGAAAGTTTTGAGGAGAGACAACTAGAGATGGCTAGGCTGCAGCTAGCATACATTTGTGCTCAGCATCAGCGAATTCACTTGAAAGCGAGTAACTTAAGCATGAAGTCAAGTATAAAATGGGCAGAGGAGAATCTCCAGCGCCTAACCAGCAAGGTAAGCAAAAGAAATGAGGCTGGATTCATATTGCAGCTGTTAAGAATGGGGGATATGATACTGCTATTAAAGTACTTTAGGATGGAAATTTAATGAAAAATCATTTTTTGTTTTCTCTTTGTTTAGTGCTTATTTGTGATATAAGCCAGTGTTTCATACAAATAGATCCATATGTTAATGGAGGCCAGAAATAGTCATTGTAGCCCCAACCTCAGTATCTAGTTTGTTTTAAAGAAATGTGCTTTAATTTGCATTCTGAATTTGAAATTTGTGTTAATTCAGATACAGACCAAACTGAGATTTTCCTTTTTGTGATGTGGGTAGACACTCACTGCTTTATTATGGGTATTGTGCCTTGTTTGCTGTAACCATAGCATGGTGCTAATGAAGTCAGAGGTCCAGGTTCAGTGAACTGAAACTCTAGTTAAGACTGTATAGATGCATTGCAAATGTTCATCTGTACTCTTGGAAAACTTGCTTTCTTGGTAGCGTAATCACTAGATGAGTAAAAATGTAACTTTTCTGAATCTGAATACCAGCACCAAGTTAGTTTTTTTTTTTTTTTTGAGTTGGAGGTGGCTCACTCATAGCCACCCCAGTGTCAACCTGCTGGGCTCCTGCCAGTCCTTCGCTTCAGCCTTCCAAGGAGTCGGAACTACAGGAGTGCACTACCACACTTAGCTAATTTTTGATTTATCGTAGAGATGAAGTCTTGCCAAGTTGCCTGGACTGGTCTGGAACAGGCAATCCACTCTCCTCGACTTTCCAAAGTGCTGGAATTACAGGCAAAGCCACTGAGTCTCGCTGATAATTTTAACTTTTAAGAAAAAATTAAATAGGCCAGATGTACTGGCACACGTATATAATCCAGCACTCTGAGAGGCCGAGGCAAGAGGATCCCTTGAGACCAGGAATTCGAGGCTGCAGTGAGCCCTGATTGTCCAACTGCACACCAGCCTGGGTAGCAGAATGAGACCCTGTCTCTAAAACAAAAAAACAAAAAACAAGAAAAAATGAAATAGAATACATTTGAATTTGTGAGTAGTATGCTAACAATAATTTTGATTGAGTAAAACAAGCGAGACAAAATCTCTATTTCCGTAACCATTACTGTGTATATGTATATGTGGTGGTAGTAACATTATAATTTAGGAATTTTACTGACTTTTCCATTGACTAAGTTCACATTTTTCCTTTTAAAGTGTAATTTTGGTTTGTGCTAATGTAAAATAAGTTTTTATTCTTTGAGCTTATTTGATCACCTAAAATGGAAAGTGAAAATAACTTTAAGACTTTCAAATTTAGATCTACAGTTTGAAATGTAATTGCTTTTCTTTGTGTAGGCTGATGGTGAAGAAAATTTGGATGCTAAAATTTCTAGCTTGAACAGTGAGATTATGAAGCTTGAAGAACAAATCACTCATATAAAAAACAAAAATTTGCCTGCTGTGGTAAAAGAGAATGCCCAGTTATTGAACATGCCAATTGTAAAGGGAGATTTTGATCTGCAGATTGCTAAACAAGATTATTACACAGCAAAGCAAGAGTTAGTTTTAAATCAGTTGATAAAGCAAAAGGCATCATTTGATCTTCTACAGTTATCATATGAAATTGAACTGAGAAAGCATTGGGACATATACCGACAACTTGAAAATTTGGTTCAAGAATTCAGACAAAGTAACATGATGCTTTATCAGCGATTAGAAATATTAACAGATCCATCAGTCTCTCAGCAGATAAATCTAAGGAATACCATTGACACTAAGGATTACTCTGCTCATAGGTATGTGTGCTTCATTGTTTCTTTAGTAATTTTTTTCTTTTTTTGTAAAATACTAGAGCAAGCTTGAATTAAAATTGTGGAAATTTTAAAACTTTCTTACATTCTACTTGTGGCCTTTCTTTTCTTTTTCACTTTTATATGCCTTTTTTCCTTTTGAATTTTTTGCTCACTTTCTCATTTATGTTAGATCTGAAGGTAGCTACTTTAGAGCTGTGGTAGGTAGATGGGAGGAATTAATGTATATAATGTTTTATTCCTCTTTAGGCATTATTATTTACGTACCTTATTTCAGATTTAGGGCAGGAAGTTTGAATACAGCTCAGTATTCCCCTCCTGAGCAGAGGATTGACTACATTTGGAGAGGTGGCAGTAGAGAGGGGAGAAGACTTCATTTCTGTGTCTAGTTGGGAGAATCATTGAGAATTAATGCTACGCCCAAGCTTTTTCTGGATGTCTAAGTGATTGACGGTTCAGGGATACTGAAATTGGAGGGCTAAAGTAGTCTAAGATCTCAAAAATCCAGATCTTACTCCTGATTTTTCTCCAAAACTAGGATAAAATCATCTGATGTTTTTGTTTTCTAATTAGTAAAAGGAGGGACCTGGATAGGGTTGCCTCACTGAACAGTTTCAGAGTTGCCATTAAGATCATGATGTATGTGAATGGTGCCCCCTGGGATTTATAGTTACATCCTGTGCAACCATAATTGGCAGCCTTGGACTTCAGCCAGTTTTATGAAGTCTTATTAAGATAATTTTTTTTTTGATTCTGAGAAAAAGATGATCCTTTTTGTCAGATTTTTGGAGAAGGTGTGTGTGGACGATGCTGCCCCAGATTTCATTTGCTCTGTAGGATGATATATTTTTCTGTTACTAATGTTTGAAATATTAAGGTAGCCTCATGGCTAATAGAAATTTCAATTTGCCAACCAAATACAAGACTGGAGTAGCAAAAGTTTACTATTACTTATAGCCATTTACGTAGTTGTTTATTATTTACATTTTATATCACTTTAATTTTACATTTATTTTACATTTTATGTTGTTTACATTTCCATTTTTTCTCTTTTAATCCCCCCCAATACTATAAAATAGGTATTAAGATGTGGAAATTAAGTCTCAGAAATTGATTTGCCCTAGTTTTCACATAACAGAACTCAGATATAGGACTTTTGTTTCAAATTCATTACTGTTTCTACTATATTGTAGTTCTGATCTGTGAAAGAAATGCTTTTTCTGGAGAGGTATCTCTGAAGCACACTTTCTTTAAAGTAGGTAAATGATAGTTGAAGTCAATAATTTTCTATCTAATACTTGGAATTCAGATGTAATAAAATATATATTTCTGTACTGAAGTAGTATAGTTAGAATGGTTTCAGTTGCTTGGTTTTAGCAGCACACAAATTAATTTTTTTATAAGTTGTTAACTATCACCACACACGTCCCAGTAAAGAATTGTAATTTTGAAAACGTTACTGACTTGATAATTTTTTCCTATAATTTTTGTTTTAACATTTTTAGGCTTTATCAACTTTTAGAAGGAGAGAATAAGAAAAAAGAATCGTTTCTAACTCCTGGAAACCTGGAGGAAGTAGCTGAGAAATTGAAACAGAATGTTTCTTTAATGCAAGATCAACTGGTAATATCTGTTAAAGAACATTCTTTCTTTCTATCCAAACTGAATAATGATGTGGACATGCTTTGTGATGCTTTGTATCAAGGAGGAAATCAGCTTCTGCTTAGTGATCAGGTCGGTGTTGTCCATAGTAATTAAAAATACTTTAAAAATAGCATTTATTGTAAAAATAATGTTAAAGAAAATGTTAGCATGAGAAAAATATTACCCCATTGCCCTAATATAAAATTTATTTTTTATGTCTCTTAATTTTTGTTTACCTATAAATACGTTTCTCAGATAGTTTTGGTGAGCATGCACAGAATTATAAAAATTTCTAAAAATGTTCCCTACACACAAAAGGATATATGAGGGGGATCCCAAAAAAGCCAGAATTTATTTATTAAAAATTTTTGTATTTTTTCTTGCATGTTTAAGCCAGTCACCTTCAAAGTATACACTGTTTGATGCAATACACCTATTGAAGCACTTTTTCTACTGCTCAAAATAGTTTTTGCACTTGTCAATTTTGATGCCTTTTAGTGTTTCTGCTGTTTCACCTCTTCCACATGGGCAAAATGTTTTCCTTTGAGTTCTTTTTTCATCTGTGGAAACAAAAAATGTCGTTCGGGGCAAGATTGAGTGAATAGGGAGGGTGGGGTACAGGGGTCATGATTTTTGGTCAAAAACTGCTGAACTCTCTGTGCGGTGTGGGCAGGTGTGCTTATTAAATCACCCATCATGAAATGGGCAAATGCATTGGAAGAATCTCCCCCAAAAATTCACTGAAGTCGATTGCAATCTCTCACAAGAATGCTAGCTGGTACACTGATGCTGATTGGTTCCTAGAAGCCTGCACTATAAGGGGCCTACCCTCCAAAAAATAATTGCAGTTTTTTTGTGATCCCCCCCTTGTATAATGTTTATTGCTAAATATTTAAAAAATTACTGTATTTATATATGCTTACTGGTACCTGCACCTCTCAATAGTATTTCCCTCCTTTCTTCAAAGAGTAACTACCATGTGTAATTTTGTTTATTATTTACTTGCCTTTTTTTTTTTTTTTTTTGAGTTGGAGTCTCACTAGGGGCTGGAGTGCAGTGGCATGCTCATGGCTACGGCAGCCGCAGTCTGGCTCAGGCGATACTTCTGCCTTGGTTTTCCTAGTAGCTGGAACTACAGGCGTGTGCCAACACACTCAGCTAATTGTTTTGATTTATTGTAGACAAGGTCTTGCCAAGTTGTCCAGGCTGGTCTCGAACCCATGGGCTCAGTCAGTTCTGTCACCCCTGTCTCCCAAAGTGCTGGAATTGCAGGCATGAGCCACCATGCCCGACTACTTGCTTTTATTTATTGTTTTGTTACATATATATATTCTTATACTATATATTTAGTTTGATATGTTTTTACCTTTTTTGTATACATAGTATTATACTGTATGTTTTTTCAGTAACTTGCTTGTTTTTTAAAGTTATGCTTTTAGCCGGTCTTGGTGGCTCAGCCTGTAATCCCGCACCTTTGGGAGGCTGAGGTGAGTGGATTGCCTGAGCCCGTGGGTTCGAGACCCGCCTGGGCAGTGAGACCCCATCTCTACAATAAATCAAAAAATCATCCGGGCGTGGTAGCACATGCCTGTAATTCCGGCTACTCGGAAGGCTGAGGCGGAAGGATCGCCGGAGCCCAGCAGGTCGAGGCTGTGGTGGCCGGGAGCGGCCACTGCGCTCCAGTCTGGGCGACAGAGTGAGACTCCAACTCAAAAAAAAAAAAAAGTTATGTTTTTGAGACTCATGCAAGTTGATTGTAAAGCTATAGTTTGTTCATAATTTTCTCTTTTATATAGATAATATTCCATTATATGAAATTTCAAAATGTAATTATCTGTTCTGTTTATGGAAAATTAGGTTATTACTAGTTTTTGCCACTGTACATCCTGCTGCTATGAATAGTCTTGTATATCTTGTAATTGTATATTTCCAATTCTTCACATCTTCATAAACACTTGTTACCTTTTATGATTTTTTTTGTAATACTAGCCATCCTAATGGGTGTGAAGTGGTATCTATGATTCATTTTTTAAAAGATCTCTTATTATTGATTTGGTCTTGAGCTATTTGTGTGTGTGTGTGTGTTGGAGTCTCCACTCCATTGCCCAGGCTGGAGTGCAGTGGCATACTCATGGGCCACCCCAGTGTCAACCTGCTGAGCTCAGGTGATCCTTCTGTCTCAGTCTTCCAACTAGCCAGAACTACAGGTGTGCGCTACCACACCGGCTAATTTTTTTTTTTTTTAATTGGAGTCTCACTCTGTTGCCCAGACTGGAGTACAGTGGCCGCTCCCAGCCACTGCAGCCTCGATCTGCTGGGCTCCGGCAATCCTTCCACCTCATTCTTCCGAGTAGCCAGAATTACAGGCACACACTACCACGCCCGGCTAATTTTTTGATTTTATTGTAGAGATGAGGTCTCGCCTGCCCAGGCGGGTTTTGAACCCACGGGCTCAGGCAACCCACTCACCTCAGCCTCCCAAAGGCACGGGATTACAGGCTGAGCCACCGAGCCTGGCTTAATTTTTGATTTATTATAGAGATGAGGTCTCGTCAAGTTGCTCAGCTGGTCTTGAACCCACGGGCTCAGGCAATCCACTCACCTCGGCCTCCCAAAGTGCTGGGATTACAGGCTGACCCATCGACCCTAGCTAGTCTTGAGCTATTAATGAGAGTATTGTGTAAAAATTTCCACTGTGATGATGGATTTGAAAATTTCTCCATGTAGTTCTATATCAGTTTTTTTTTAATCTTTATGTATTTTACATCTATTTTATATACAATTTAAAATTGCTTTAAATAATCATTCTGATGATTTTAGATCGTGGTTACTCAAAAGTATTTGGTGTTATTTAATGCCTTCTATATTCCAATAATGCTTTTTGTCATGGTATTCTTTCGTTTAATAATATTTCTGTGTCATCTTTCTTTTGGTTAGTAGTTGCAAGGCACAGTTCTCTTTCTCCTTTTTTTTTCTTTTTTATACTTTTCCATGAAGTTTTTATTATTAGTTAAGTCATGATTCAGAGTCCTGGGGTAGGGATCACTGTGTTCCCAAGTCCCCCTTCAGTGGAGCACAGGAGACAGGCGAGATGGAGCCAGTTCAGATCAGCCTAGGAAACATGCCTTCTCCCCAGCAGTTATCCCAGGCTGAGACCCAGGACATAGAGCAAAGGAACACTCTGACACCACTCGCACAGAGACATCACCTCCTTTAACAGTCCCGGCAGTTCTGCCAGCAGTTTATATTCTGGTTCTGGTTGGAGAAGTGGCTATCAAAAGGGACAGACCTGTAATTCTTGATTTTGGTCATGATGTTTTCTGCCATGGTGCTAACTATTGAAGACACCGCTGATGCAGCTCACAGCTCAGAGTGACCTTAAACAAAGATCATAGTTTTCTTTTTTTCTTACATACCTTTTACAGTTCTTTTTGCTTAGCATTATGAAATAAATCTTTTCACTTTCTGAATAGTTTTCTTACTTTTTAACGTTACAGTGCTTTATTGATTTAATTACTATGCCATGATTTCTGTATCAAGTTTATTGTTGTCAGGCATTTGGATATTCACTTTTTTTCTTTTATTTGCTCTTGAACATCATTATTTATAGCTTTTTGTTGCATACTTTCATTTAGATAAATCCATGACTTCCATGGACTTCATTGGGTGTTTTTGGAAGGGAGACATACACAGTTGTTTTTTTTTCTTTGCTTTTGCTACTGCCATATTGCTTTCTGTTTTAGTTTTTCATTTTTTTTTTTGAGTTGGAGTCTCACTCTGTCATCCAGACTGGAGTGCAGTGGCCACTCCGGTCACCGCAGCCTTGACCTCCTAGGCTCCGGCGATCCTTCCGCCTCAGCCTTCCAAGTAGCTGGAACTACAGGCGAGCGCTACCACACCTGGCTAGTTTTTTGATTTATTGTAGAGATGAGGTCTCACCAAGATGCCCAGACGGGTCTCGAACCCGCAGGCTCAGGCAATCCACTCACCTCAGCCTCCCAAAGCGCGGGATTACAGGCTGAGCACCGAGCCCGGCCCATATTGCTTTCTAAAGGAGTTAGTTGTGCCTTTGTCTAATAGACACCATTGATCATATAGTACACTTTTATTTTATGAATTGCTAAGAAAGAAAAAACTTCCAGTTAAAGTGACACGGTGCTTTCTTACTGAGAATTTATATTTTTCATGCTAGCTTATTAGAAAAGATCTTTTAGGTATATGGAGGCATAGATTTTTCTCATATCTCTTGGACGTATATTAAAAGAAAAGGATAAGCCAATTAAATGGTTAGGGTATTTGTAAAACTTCGGTGTCCAATTCTTCTAAATTGATTTTTGATTCAAAGTCATCTGTATTTTTCCACACTGTACATCAAGAATGTTGATGAGGCCAGGCATGGTGGCTCATGCCTATAATTCCAGCACTTTGGGAGGTTGAGGTGAGAGGATTGCCTGAACCCGCAGGTTTGAGACCAACCTGGGCAACTTGGGGAGACCTTATCTCTACAATAAATCAAAAAATTAACTGGGCTTGGTGGTGCATGCCTGTAGTTACATCTGTTTGTAAGGTGGAAGAGGAAGGATTGCCTGCGGTGGCTGGAAGCGTGCCCCTGACCTCCAGCCTGGTTGACAGCGTGAGACTCCAACTCAAAAAATAAACAAATAAAATAAAATAAGAATGTTGGTGAGAAAGCATTTCCTAAGAGTACCTGGCCAGAAACAATCACATAATGCTCTTGATTATAAGATGCATCTTGATTTCAGATATGTTAAAATGTTTAAAAAAAAAATGCATCCTAGAATCACTAAAATGTAATTTCATTATAATTTTATCTTTGGGAATTATTGGTTAATTTTTTTTCTTAGTTCAATGTGATATAAAATGCCATATCAATTTTTTTTTTCTTTTTTTGAGTTGGAGTCTCACTCCATCACCCAGGCTGGAATGCAGTGGCACACTCACGGCCACCCCAGCATCGACTAGGTGGGCTCCTGTGATCCTTCCGCCTCAGCCTTCCAAGTAGCCGGAACTACAGGCGCATGCTACCACGTGCGGCTAATTTTTTATTTATTGTAGAGACGAGGTCTCGCCAAGTTGCCCATCCTGGTCTTGAACCCACACGCTCAGGCAATTCACTCGCCTCGGCCTTCCAAAGTGCTGGGATTACAGGCTGAGCCACCAACCCCGGCCCATATCAATTTTTAACCTGCATTTTTATTACTAAATTGCTGACTTTTTTTAGTATCTGTAGAAGTATTGTTTTAGCAACTATGTGATCTTTAGTATTTAATTGAAATTAAAGGTGAGATTGATGTTAATGAAGTTTACCAAGTTTTTCTCAAAGGAGACTACTAAATGTAAAAAAAAAGTCAAAATTATTGGATTTTAAAAAGTAAGTAGTACTGCTCTCTGTGAATTGGCTTTTCTGACAGGCAGTGTCTTAAGAAGTCATTCTTGAACTTGTATGTTAGAATCAGGGAGCCTGTTGAAATGCAGATTCCTAGCCCTGTCAAAGAGCTTGAGTAATTTCGTTTAGAGTGGGGTACCGGACTCTATATGCACAACAAGCACCCCAGGTGATTATATTACTTGTGAACCCACACTGAGCAGCAGTGGAAAGTTGAGGACAGTTGGAACTACAGATTTTCTTGAAACTTTGTTGATACTGGCTAAAACTTATAAGAGGAGAATGCTTAATTAGAAAGCTATGGAAGCCAGGCTTGGTGGCTCAGCCTGTAATCCCGCGCCTTTGGGAGGCTGAGGTGAGTG